ATAAATAAAAACACAGAGACAGATAACAGTGTATTATGTCAGAAAGAAGAGCCAAAAGTAAAGTACCAGCATGTTGCACTTAATTTAAGCCTTTTTACTGGGCCACTGTTCAAGAAGGAGGGGTGAGTCAGTTTTTTGAGATATAAATTACAATGTATTATGTCAATGTAGAATTTTAGGAGCAAGAGCCATAAAACAGCACATACGCCTTTTTACTAGGCTGAATTTTAAGAGAGAGAGAGAAAAGGTGGATAAAGGAGCCATAAAAAAGCATAGACATGCTTCACATCATGAAATACTTTTTAGTAGGCTACATTTCAAGAAATGCAAAATACTATTTATCATGAAATAAATATTACCTAGTATTATGTCAGAGACAAGTTACAGAAATATTGAACATTTATGCTGCACATCATATTAGCCTTTTGAACTAGGCCACATTTAAAAATTTTCATAAAATTAAAATGACAGTGGTTTGTAAGAGACAACATTTTACGCAGACATTTCACTTGCTCACTTTTCAAGGGGGAGAGATGATGCGTGTATTAAAGTGTTATACAAATTACAGTTGATTATGTCATAATCAAGCACCAGAAATGTTGCAGAGACATAATACATAAAACAGTTGATTACGTAAGAGATTATGAAAGAGCCAGAAATATAGCTCATGCATGCTAGATATTATGTAAGCTTTTTCACTAGCCTACATTTCAAGAGGGAGAGAGGTAAGTTTAAATGTAAAATAAGCATCATAGTGCATAATATCAAGAGCCAGAAGGGTACACTGCACATCATGGAAGCCTTTATAGTAGGCTGCATTTTAAGAGGGAGAGAGATGTGGCACTTTTCAAGATTAAAGAGGATTATGTTAGAGACAAGAGTCAGAAATATTACACAGACAAGCTGCACATCATGTAGGCTTTTTTTTCAAACCACAATTAGAGGCAGAGGCAAGTAACGTCTTATTGAAAAATAAAGAATACAGTGTACAATGTATTACGCAATACCTAGAAATAGACAACAGACATGGGGCACATCAAGATTTTTTACTGCGTCACTATGAGAGAGGCAAAACAGGTTTCATCATGAAATAAAAATGACAGTGGATTTTGTTCGAGACATTAGCCAGACATATTGCACACTCATGCTGCACAATATGTAAGTCTTTATACTAGACTGTATTTAAAAACGTAGGGACAAGGTGGGTTTTATTGTGAAATAAAAATGACAGTGTATTTTGTCATAGACAATAGCTAGAAGTATAGAACATACACACTGCACATTAAGGTAGCCTTTTATTGCTACATAAGAGGGAAAGACAAGACAGGTTTTATTAGGAACTAAAAAAGAGAGTGGAATATGTTGGAGACAGGAATCAGAAATATTGCAATACTGCACATCATGCATACCCTTTCACACATTTTAAGATGGAGAGACAAGACACTTTATATCAAGAAATAAAAAACACAGTGCATTATGTCAGCCAGAAGTATTGTACAGTTAGCACTGAAACAGAGGAGAAAGCATTGTGAAAAGGAAACAATGCACGCAGCTTTTCATTCTACAAATCAAAATCTAAGAATTTATGTGTCACAGAAAAAGCAAAAAATATTGCCCAGAGAACATAAACAGCATTTCAGCTGCATTTTAGCTGTTGAAGTAGACTGCACTCTCAAACTGACACAATGCATGCAGTTGTTCAGGCCAAATATACACAATAAAGAGTATTTTTAACACTATAAAAAGAAAGTAATATTGTGCACACTGTAAACATATTATTTCTACCGTTTCTGATTATTCATTTCTCTTTCCTTGTCTAGTCTAATTGTAAACACCACATCCACCATTAAGCTCTGGAGGAAAAAAAATCTATAATTTCACCAAAAACAAGCCTGCAGTGACTGAACTGTCCCCATCACCAGGAATAAGTTCACGTTTGGTCTAAATGTAACTTCACCTGAATTTTCTTACCAATTATTCACCTACAAGGCCAGGAATCCCTCATAAACTATTGGACAAGCATCAAAGGGATTACATTGTTGCTGAAATATGGCCACATAGCCATGTTTGGCTAATAACATTATTTATAAAGGGCCTTCCAGATTCCGATAAGCTTCTTGCCTGTCAGGATAAATATTCGGATAAGCGTCTGGTATGGAATTTTGGGGGGACTTCACTTTTTTTTTTTTGGGTGGGATTAAGAGACTTGAATGGCCTGGTAAGGATTATGGTGGGACCCCACATCCTTTTTAATATCTATATCAAATCCTCATCTAAAATAAGACTGGATTTGTGATGTCATTGACCAAATATGGTCATATCTATATATGATCAATGATGTCACCTTGGAGATCCCACTCTCTTATAAGGCAAGCGAATGGTCTAGATGTGTCTCGGCTGGTAATTTTTTTTCTTTTGCAGGTTGGTGGGCATCATAATTGATGTGGATCTACAATTATTGAGCAACATGACTTATGTACATTGTGGGACAATTATTTTTATTATTAAAGCTCTTGTCAAAACTGTACTTGTGTTTTTTTACTGTTAACATTTGTTTGTGAATGAGCAAGAGTATTATGTACCCCTTACTCATTAACATTGGGGGACGGTATAGTGGTGCATGCTTCTTGTTAAAAGGGCTTCTTGATTCGGATAAGTCCCCACCCACAGGCCCCCACAACCACCAAGCAAAGGTTGTTGGGAAAAGGCTCTTGTCCTTATCAAGAGGAGGGAAGGTGCTTTGCTGGGGAGGGGGGGTGTTCTAGCAAGGTACCCCCCATGTTGAGGGAATGTGGCCTAGTATGGTTTAGAAAGAAGGCTCACACTCATCCCCCCTTTCTTGTCCAGTCTGGTATGGATTTCTAGTAGGACCTCATGCATTTTTGTTTTGGCTTTTTTCTTAAAGGGATTCCCCTTTCAATTCTATAATAGACTAAAAGTATCTCGTATAGATTTCCAGGGGAACCTCACAACCTTTTGTTGTGTCTTTGGTGGGGGTAGCTCTCTAAAAGGTCTTGTATTTTTGGGTATCTTTGTGTTCTGTGTGCTGTTTTTTTCTAAAAAAAAAAAAAAAAAAAAGAGGCCAGGAGGGAAATGTCATTTGATGGCAAATTCCCTTTGTAAATGTCAGTGCTTTAATATATCACTGCCCATATATATCAGAGTCCAACCCTTGCCTATCAGCCTGGAAAATGTCCATTTAAATTTTGATTTAACATAGTCTGCTATCATCGACTTCAGTTGGGTTTGGGATCTAAACTCCCTTGAGGTGTGCCCTGTCTTGCATCCTTCCTGGCTGTCAGGAAGGACAAAGAGACATAACATCCCTGCCCTTGCTTGTTGGACCACGTATCTGTGGTCAGTGGACCCTGCCAATGATTGTGCTCTAGCAGCACAGAGACAATACCTTTTACATGCTTTTACAGGGCAGGGGTGGCCTTCTGGGCAAAGAATGGTGGCTGGGTACCTGCCAATATTGTATACTACAGGCTGAAAAGTTCTTGAAGAAGGCAGACTCTACTGATTGGAAGGGAAACAGTTGCAAAGCCAGAATATTTTCCAAGTTGGCATTGAGATGCTGGGCATGGGGGTGACTGGGTGAATATTTTTTCTATGCTTCAGCAGATGGGGAAGAGGCAATACCTGCCTGGTCAAGTATGTAGCTGGAGATGTCAGGGTTAGGAGACTTATTGCACAATTGAAGCCTACACTTGGTTCTACTCTGCATGGCCCAGTGCTGGCTTTGTTCCCTGGTAATGTGCAGTAAGGTAGCCCTCTAAACCTCCTTGCCAGACTTCCATCCCTATCACTTGAGGCTACAGATGCTGTAGTGGATGAAAATTGAGATTCCTGTAGACTGGGGGGAAGAGGTAAAAAGGGAGAAATAAGAAGACTTTTCGGGCCTACTGCCACTTTGTGGTGAACAATCATGTGTCTCCTTATGCATGTGGTACTCAAATGACTGGCAGATTTACCACACTTAATACACTGCAGGCAGACACTCCAAACCACTATGGTGCTGTCTGCAACAGATGTGTGAAAAAGACTCAGACTGCAGAGATCTGCATAGCAGACATAGCGATTGCAGTGGCCTGCAAATTTAGAGCTTTGCCATTCAAGGTATCTGCAAGCTGCCTTTGAAAAATATTCTGCCTCACTTTTGCTGTCCCCTTACTTACATTCTTGGGCACAAGGAACAGATTTCCATCTCATCGTTCCCGCCCTCCTCACTACTTGCTGCACCTACAGATGCATAAACGCCAATTGCTTCTCCTTCCCTGTTATTGCTTCCCTCTATACTCCTTGTGTTCTCTTCCCCAGTATCTAATAAAATGAATCCCTGTGCATCCTTCTGCAGCAAGTTGTCTGCTTAAATAAATCAGCTGACTTCTCAATTCTAGTTTTCAGGGCAACAGCATTAGCTTTAGATGAGGTGGAAGAAGAGTGTGCATTTGCAGCTCCTGATGACATTTTGCTAATTTGAGCCTGGGGGAAGAAGGAGCATGAAAAAGGCTTGTTTATTACTCCACCACCATTCCATGTGCTTTCTCTGGCTGTATAGCACGCCCATTGCCAGAAAGAAAAGACAGATGTGCCCTACCTCTCAAAGATACAGCACAACTCCTAACTCCACAACTTACCTCTTGCTAGCTGTGCCTCTCCTTTTAGTCCTGTCGGACAATATGGAAACAGGAGAAAGTCTAATTTTATTAGAATTAAGAATGAGGTGCTTTGGTGCACATTATAATATGAAGATTTGGTGCTGTAAACAAAGGACAGTTTGGGCTGTGTAAGCAGCAAATAACCCTGCTCATCCTAAAAAAAAATCTCGTATATGTACAGTATATACAACAAAACACCAAAATGTCAAGCAACATGTAATCAGCAACAGAAGTTGTTGCTGACACACAAACACCTTCAACTGTCCCTGATTTCGAGGGACTGTCCCTGATTTGGAACAAAGTTTCTTTCCTCTTCATTTGTCCCTCATGTTGATCTGATCTATATAGATGTATATAAAATAAATTATTTGTATTTTAAAAAGTCTGTTACAGTGCTAAACCTTTCATCCAGTTTCTAAACTGCTGCAATTGTAAACTTCAAAAGCCGGTATAAAGGAATAGTATTGGAAAAAAAAGACAAGCACTTGTGAGCAGGGGCGGACTGACAACTCATGGGGTCCCCGGGAAATAGGGGATCATGGGGCCCCTGTGTCCTTGCCCAAACTCAAAAAAGCTTATGAAAAAGGTACCAGGGGCATCTCAAGGGGCCCCCTACTGACCCCGAGCCCTCGGGCAGTGCCCGAGTTTCCAAATGGTCCAAATGGTCAGTCTGCCCCTGCTTGTGAGTGTTACTAATCTATTTTTTTGTATAATACTTCTTTAACTGCTTCCCCTCTGCCCTATAGTAGAAGTACTGCTACAGGACGGCAGGGCTTTGTAAAATCACGTATATATACATGATTTGCATTTCCAGGTAGGGGGCGCATGAGCTCCACCCTACCAGTGCCACCGTTGGCAGCTACAGAAGTCAATCACTGGGTCCCGGGTGAAGATTCCACTCTGGCACCCTGTGATCGCCGAGTAACACTGACAGGGGAGAGACCTGTGTGTAAACAATACAGGTCTCTCTCCTACTAGCAATAACATGCTGCTGTGTATTTCTCTACATCTACACAGCAAAGAAATACACAACAGCATGTTTCCCTAGTAAAAACACACCCAGCACACACAGTAAAACAGCACAGAGTTAACCCCTTGATCGCCCCTTCCTGCCCAGTATTATTAGTACAGTGTCAATGCTTTTTATTAGCACTGATCGCTGTTAGTTTTATTGGGATGTCAGTGGCAGTTAGTCAGTTCCCACCCAGTGTCAGAATGCCCACCGCAGTCCCGTAGTACCAATATAAGTCGCTGATTGCCCCCATTACTAGTATAAAAAAAAAATTCCGATATACATACTGCCATTTGTAGACGCTATAATTTTCACGTAAACCAATTAATTTACACGTATTGGGATTTTTTTTGTTAGCAAAGAGATGTAGTAGAATACATTTTGGCCTAAATTTATGACGAAATTTGATTTTTACATTTTTTTACTGGATATGTTTTATAGCAAAAAGTCAAAAATATAGTTTTTTTTTTCAAAAGTGTCTGTCTTTTTTTGTTTATAGCGCAAAAAATAAAAAACCGCACAGGTGATCAAATACCACCAATAATGAAGCACTAAAGAGCACAGTTACTAAAGAGGGGTACATTCCACTCTTTATGCTAAATAAAAAGATTTAAACAGTGCTCCCCAACACCCTATTAGTATGCTTATACCAAGATATTATAGGTATACACACCGTAAATATGCTCAAGTGCAAAAATGCTATAGTGAAAAAAATGCTAAGGTGCAAAACAAAAATGTACTGTATGCAAACGGCACGGTGTGGTGGTGATTCTTTAGGAAACACAAGAATCAAAAATACAAAAATACATAAATTAAAGGACTTTATTTCTTTATATCATGATTTGTTATGGACTATTAAGATAAATATATATTGTTTTGCACATATATTTGTGTATATATATATATATATATATATAGTATATATATATATATATTTTATTTTATTTTTTTTGCACAAATTGGCACATCAGTTTTGTATGATTTATGATGGGGGATGTTCTATGATTTGTTATATTTATTAGAATATGTTGATATATTTTTTTGATATTTAACACTCTTACAGGGGTCGTTTGCATACAGCACTTTTTTGTTTTGCACCTTAGCATTTTTTGCACTTGAGCATATTTACGGTCTGTATACCTATAATATCTTGTTATAAGCATACTAATAGGGTGTTGGGGGAGCGCTGTTTAAATCTTTTTATTAAGTATATTGCTATGGGTTTCCAGAGAGTAGACAGCTGCTGCCACCCTTTTTTCCTTTCTTTTGGGGCTAGAACCCTATACATGTCCAGTGTCGCCATCTATCAGAAGTAATTTTTGACATTCCACTCTTTGCAGCAACACTTAAATTGACTGTAATGTAGCAGTGGCACGATACTGAACTGTATATAGAACTGTACAGCTCTGTAGATAGCACTACAGCAGCAGCAGTAACTACCTCTCCTTAAAATTTCTGTAAGCTGCCCCTATCTACTCCAACTCCAATATACACAGACAAAAGACTGATGGGAGTGCAATCTTTTATAGGAAGGGGGCTAGCACATTTACAAACCCCCAATACTGCTCGCACTATGCCACCTGACAGAGGACAGAGATCATAGTTCGTGCAATGCATTATAGGGGACTCAGTGTTGGCACAGAGGTGTCATTTAGATGAACTATGAAAAGGCAAAGTTAGGATCAAACTTCACATCATTCCAAACTTAAATATCATCCTTACTTATGTGGTCGGTAAATGACCCAAACAAAAAGTTAAAAACTTAAATTTCATCATTAAACATTACCACACCACAAAGTCTTTTAACTGTACATTTGAATATTGGTGTTAGATTATGCTCACTGACAGGTGACTTTTCAGAGAATTTTAAGGTTCATAAGAAAGTGTTCTCACCTATAATTGTCTATATCATATTTTCTGTACTCTGTCCTGGTGCTGTGGTGCTATCACTGCACCAAAATTACCTATGTGTTAACAGATTGGGCTTCCCATCTGGTGTTGAAATATTACTGCTCTGATACCATGCCAAACATGTCACCACTGTGTTAAAGAGACTGAGATGGGATTACACAGCACAAGAAACATTATTTAACTTGCTTACTTAATTCCATCTGTTCTGTTTTATAACAGTTGAGTTAGATTTAAACTAAGGCTATAAGAATTGTGTGTTAAAAGTCAATTTAAAACTATTATAGTGAAGTGGGCTGCATTCACAGAAGCAGATCGCATGTGTAACACCCTGCTATTATTCAGATTGCAGGATGTTAACAGAGGCACAAGGCGGCAGTGCCCTGCAACTCAGTGGCACACACTCTAGTGAAAAGCTCTATGGACTTTGTAGGCTGAACCGCAGGACTTTGCTGGAAGGCAGCTAATTGGAAGACTACATTTCCCAGAGGAGCTGGTATATTGCATAGGGATATATAAGTAGAACCCTGGGAATAGCACAAGAAGTGAGCTGCTAGAGAGTTGGAAGGAGGTTGTGAAGAGAAGACTGTGTGGAATGCCAGAGTACTGGAGAGTGACAGAAAGTGGAGAAAAAGGGAGGAATATCTGATTGCTGAACTTGCCAAATGGTCTGGAGAACTACTCTGTCAGCCAAAGACTCTGAGTGTTGCTGTCCGGAATGAACTCTGCAGGAGGAACCGCAGGACCACTGGGGGCCCCCATCTACACAGAGACCACCAGTGACCCAAATGATGCAACAGATCAGGTGAGAGAGTCCCATAATCTGATCGTTAGTACACAGCTTTTGTATTTCAGTGGCTTTTATTACTTTTTCAAACAATTTAACACAGAAGGACTAGAGCAAAAGACACTCCCATGCAAAGTCTCTCTCAATGGCACATAAAAAATAGAGAGAACAGTGCTGTAAAACCAGCAATGCAAAAGGCGCTCCCACATATTAATGGTATTGAAAACATAAAAAAGTGAAACAGTGATATAACACCAACAAAAACTTCAGCCAAAGGCAAGTATCTACAGCCTCACAGAATTAAGCAGGAAACAAAGAAGGAAAAAGAGGGAAGAAAAAAGAGGAAAACAAGACAAGGGGCAGGGAACAGGGAGCATCAATACCATACAGCATCATAAACCCAGATTAGCCAGGGGGAGGGTGGGAAAGGCATATGTCAACCACGGCTCCCATATTTCCAAAAATGTTTGTTGGGAATCATTACGGATACTCGACATCTGTTCATTGAGCATCAGAGTGGTCATACGGTCCTGCACCCCCTGAAGAGGAAAAAACAGGCCTTTCCAGGCCTGAGCAATTGTTCTAGGGCCGACAAAAACAAATAGGAAGCCAGATTCTGCTGATGAGCCAACAAGCCCAGTATGAGACAATGAAGCAAAGCATACGGAGCCTCCCGGCGTATGGAGAGATGGAACAAGGTGTAAAGAAAGCCAAATAAGCGGGACCAAAAGCCAACCAGTGTTGAGCATGACCACCATATATGCAATACATCCCCACGATGGCCTCAACCTCGAAAGCAGCGATCACTATAGGCAGGGTTCACCTGGTGTTTAAGAGCCGGGACCCAATACCAACGAAACAGTACTTTGTATGCTGCCTCCAGCATGGCTGTATTAAATGAACATTTAGCTATAAACGACCTGGCCTTATTCCAGTCCTCCAGATCCACAACGCCCCCAATTCACGCTCCCACTGGGCAACATATGATAGAAAAGTATGCATTGAGCGTCCATTCAAGGATGCATAAAGTAGGGAAACAAGACCGAAGTGCCCGGACATTGTAGCAAAGCTGTTCAAAGGCAGATTTCTGATATGGAAAGGCGGAAGTGCCACACAAAGAGGTCAACCAGTGCTGCACTTGAAGGTAACAAAAGAATTCCGCCTGAGGGATATCCCGTGATTCCCGAAGGGAGTTCCAGGTGGGGAAGGACCGAGAAGTCAAAAAGTGTCGCACCTGCAAGAAACTATTGGCCACCCGCCAAGAGAATGCCCCTGGTTGATCTAAACCCAGCAGGAAAAGAGGGTTATTAGTTGTTGGTAGAAAGGGCGACATCAAGCCACTGGAGTAGCAAACCCACACTTGTAGGCCATGGAGCAAAATCAAACTCAGTGTCATTGGGCGTAGGGCAGGTGGGAACCATAAGAGCATCGATGTTGCAATGGGGGCACAGTTAGGTAGTTCCAAAAGGACCCAGAAAGGAATATCAGAGGAAGCATGTAACATAGACAGGGGGGCAATCTGGCTCGCCTGGTAATACTTAGCTACATTAGGCACCCCGAGACCTCCCTGGAGTTTATGGACAAAAAGCGTATTTCTGGAGACTCTGGGGTGTCTATCGGCTCAGATGAAGCGTATAATCCTCTCCTGAATCAACCAGAGAAAATGAGGAGCAACCC